CTGAAGGAGAAATGACTGGTGCGCTGGGAGCTCCCACACGTAGGGTGTTCCTCGCCTATCTGCTGCTCCTCGCTGTGAGGGTTGCGATGCTTCTAGTTGACTAGTCAGTTAAGAGGCAAAGTTCTTGCACTTTATGAGAAAAACAAAAAAAAATTTCCTGCCTGAATAAAACGTGCCAGCGCAGAGGTGGGTGTTGGCGTAAGGAGCCTTTCCCTGGGAGGCTCTGCCAACCCAGGGTGAGCGCAGCCCATGCCTCCGGTACTGACAGGTGAGTCCTGTCTGCTGGGAGTTGGGAGCCAATGTGAAGCATGTTTGGTCTCTGGTTCCCAGTGTCCTCTGCCTGTCCCAGCCCGCTGTGGTGGGTCTTGGGCTTCCCTTGCTCTACGAGATCAGCTGGAGCTGGAGGGGAGCAGTTCCTTACTGCTGCTGTGTCCTGCAGGCCCCACAGGGTCCCTTTGGACACGTGGTCTTACTGTGCCATGCCCTCAGCCAGCTTTTGGGACAGGGTGGGAGCCCTGTCCGTCTGCAGGATATTTTCTGAGTGATGATGACCTGGGTGGCTGGCTGGGCACTGGAAGGTACAGCCATAGCGAACAGGGCTGTGGGTTTATTTTTTGGAAACCTTTTCAGGTGCCAAAAGGGGCGAGCTCAGCCCTACCTCTTCATTCTGCCGGTATCGGCTCTGCCCCGGGGAAGGGACCTGCTTCCAGCACGGCGCCGGGGCTTCGTGCCCCGTGTCCCACAGCGGTGTTTTGCTGGAAGATGTCCCAAAGAAGGTGGTGGCAGGAAGAGAGCTGCTGACTCCTGGGAGGCTCCTGGTATCGGTCCCTCGGTGGAGGCTGCAGCAGGGCTGTGCGTCCCCTCCCCGGCAGGTGGGACGAACCAGTGTCCCCTTCCAGTCTGTCCAGTGACCTTTTCACACATGTATTGCTGCTGTCTTGAGGTCCTTTCCCCCCTGAGCCCTGTGGTACGGGGCAGGAAAGTAGGATAGGAACGATGCTCTGAGCAGAGTGCTTGCAAAAACTGAAGTGCTTTATGGTTTTTATTAAGAAGTTATGTTTTGTTGGGGTATTTTGTTTTGGATTTTTTCCTTTGAGCGGCTGCTAGTAGGCTTTGGGTCTGGCTGTAGGCCTAGGGCGAAGGAATATATTCTTATATTTAGCGGGAAGAGCTGGTTTTGCACACTGGTGGAGATGGAGAAATCCTGTGGACTTCAACGTGACCACGTTGTGGTTTAGTTTTAGTTTTATTTACAGATCCTTGTTTATGGGAGGGGGGAAAAAAAACCCAAACAACCTATGCTTTTCTTCCCAGTATGGAGATGACTTAGTTTGTTCCTCCAAACCACTTCCTAGGTGTTAGCGTTGAGAATAAACCTTCCCTGCGTACACTGGCTCTCTTGTGTCACTCTGTTTCGTCTCCTTTCCCCCAGTAAGGGTTGAGACGATCCCCCAGCTGCCATGGCATGCCCAAGAACTGCCCAGGGTGTTGCCCACCCTGCGTGGAGAGCTTGGTGGTGGTCAGACCCTGTCCTGCTGTCCTGCCTTTCTCCTCTTCCAAACCCCTTTGCCCGCAGCGTGCCTGGCTGCGGCACGTGAGCTGTCCGGACACCGAGCTTGTGCCATGCACCCAGCAGCTCTGAGGGTCAGACCAGGAAAGCTGGTAGCAGCTGGTGGCATCAGCAACGCCTCCCCTGCTGCCTGTGTGCTGCACGTGTGCTTCCCACTGCTGTTGCTGTTCAGATGCTTCTGCCGTGCTTTCGCCAGCTCCGTGATTGCATTACAAACCTCGTAATCCTGTTAATTTTAGCCAGCAGGTCTGTATTTTTAGGCCACAGCTGTTAACCATGGGAGTGAGGGGTACAGGGAAACGCAACCGGAGTTCTCCTGACTTGACTCCATAGATGGAGGCCTGGCAGCGATGGACTGCTGCGGAGTGAAAGGCTCTTCTCTCCCATGCAGACCTTAAAGCTGTGATCTCCTGTGCTTCCAGGTACCCACAGAAAGTGCTTCAGCCTCCTGCCCATCCTGGCTGCTCCGTGTGCTGCATGTCATGGGGAAGTGCTCCATGTCCCAAAGGAGCAGAGTGCTGAGCAGCGTTGGAGGCTTTGGGGGGGTGGGTAACCTGAACACTGTCCTCTGGCAGAAGAGGACACGGGAATCTTGTGGATCTACTTGCTTTGGTGTAGAGGAGGCCCCACAGAGAGGGAGGAGGCAGCCTGGCTTCCCAGGGAGTGCAGCTGAAACTAAATGCAGAACAGAACCTCCCTTCATTTCACCAGCTGTCTGTCCCTGGGCTGCAACACTACAGCAGGTGCAGCTGGTGAGATAAAACCACTTTCCCTGCCCCTCTGCAACTCCTAAATAACACCATGAGGAGTTTCTGCCCAGAAAACTTCTGTATTGTTCTGATCAGCGAATGGAAAGAGCAAGATTTGGGTGGATGCTTTTACAGTAATAGCTTAACTATTTTAAGTAGGAAGAAATAATGAGGCAGAGTTAAGATGTCACTGCATCAAATTTAAAAATTAAATAATCTTTTAATAAGAAACTTATTAGTCCGACAAAAATAACTTCCATTAGCTAGCAGCATCACAGAGGCATGTCTCAAAGTTTGAGGAAGAACTCGGTTTCAAATTCAGGAATTGCCTAAACCGAAGGCTTCTCCTAAGCACTGCAGCTGAGCTTCCCTTTCAGGGCAAGCACCAGATCCAGCTTCTCTGCACCTGGCTCCCCTTCACTGGCAGGCTCAACCAAGGTAAGGGGTATGGCATTGACAAAAAAACAAAGGGGAATGTTGCTCACGTAACGTCAACTTGGAAGTGAACTTAAAATTCCACCCTGTGGAAAGCCAGGGACTGAGCTAGAGGTAAGCAGCCCTGGTGTCTGTCCTAGCAGCTAGGACCCAGCTCTTCCTCACGTAGAAAGGTCACAGTGGGAGCTGCAGGTGGACTAGATCCCAATCTGCTCAGCAGAAGTGCAGCTGAAAACAAAAGGCTGACACCAGTAGTGGGGCCACCTTCCAAAGCTGGTTGAACCCTTGCTGCCCAGACATGTAATGCATGTGTGAGGATGGTATCCCTTGCCAGGAGCAACCTGCAACCAGCCCTTCCAGAAACCACTCAACAGACTCATTTCTAGACTCCGGTTCCTTTCAGCAGTAGTTGCTCCTGTAGCAGCTCGAACCTCCGGACCTTTCAGGCTCTCAAGAGATGTTCATCCAGGCTCAGTGGTTTTGTGGGCAGGTTTTCCTAGTATGGCCAGGCTGGTGGCAAATGCTACAGGTCCGTGGTTTCTTGGCAGTGGCTCCTGAGGAGAGACTGCTTGGTCTCTTGGCTTTACTTCCCAACCCTCTTGAGTATCCATTGCTGCCAAAGCGGTTCAAAGAGACATCTCCAGAAGGCCCTAGAGGGAAACAACTTGCATTTAAGTACCTTTGAACATGTAAGTAGGTGAGAAAGAGAAGATAAGTTGAAAATGGCAGATCAAAGATTTTACTATCCCAGCCACTGAGATTCCTGAAGCTACTCTTGATTCAGACTTGTCTAAGCAGTTAAATGTTACCCTTTTGTCTTGCAGCATTAGAGAAATGTGGGAAAAGAACAGGGAAACTGATCTGCCTGGTTGCATGCTCTGATCTACAGCTGAAGCAGAAACAAGACAAGCCAGAGGAAAACTTGATTCTACCCCTTTAGGCCCAAATGTCTAAGGAGGAGAGAGGAGGAGGTGGCGGCCAGTGTTGAAGATCTCTCTCAGACCATATCTCCACCTCTGTACTTTGCTTACTGTCACTTTGTGTCAGTGCTTTCTTTCACATCCTTATTTTGTGACTTTTTTATTTTATGCATACTTGTTTTCAGCATCTTTTCACAGCAGCCACACTCCGTTTCTCACCTCTGATCAAAGCTTCAGCAAGACTTGGCCTTTCACAGCATTCCTAAACTAGGGCAGAGGGAGCAGCGCAGTTTCCCTGGCATGACAGAATGGGGTTTAAGATCTCCCAAAGTGGTGCCACTGCTTCAACTCCGAACTGAGCTGGTAACAGCTCTCACAAAGCTGAGCACTGTAATTTGGGAGGACAAATTCCCAAAGAGACTGTTGGAAAGCGAGTGCTGGGCTGTATCCAACATGTCACGGACAGACAGACGCCCAAGCTTACTGCACGTAGAAGCAAAGCATCCTGCTCAAACTCAGATGTGTGCTATGAGGTCATACGCTGCTAGCACTTGGAAAGGTAAGCCAGACTCAGTCGTCACAAGCAACGTTTGAAGTGCTATAATGCTGCTGACAGACGTTCTAAAGACAAAGCTGACATCTGTTATGAGCTGCTACAAGAGCTGTCACGCTGCGGTGGCGTTACGCACGTGTGACAACGTCATTACGCAGCTGAGCTTCAAGAACAGCCTCCAGCCAGCGCGTCACCCCCCCCGCCCAGCATGCCCCCAGCCGGTGCGTCACCCCCCCAGCCCAGCCTCACCTGGTGCCACGTTCTCATCTGCCCACTGGAAGAAGCCGCACTGCTGCTCTCGGGGCTTGGAGCAGGTGTGGAACTGCCGCCCCTTGTTGGGCCCGTCCTTTTGGACGGTGCGCGTGACAGCGGGCTGGTCGCACCTGCAGACTGTGCCGCCTCCTGAATCCGAGCTGTTGCTTCCAAAGAGCTCCGGGCCTCTCCCTCCTCCTGAGCCCCTTCCTGCAAAGGGCCGGGGCAGCGCAGAGCCCCGCGGAGCCTCGTTGCTTCTGTCCTCTGACTGCTGATCAGCCCAGAGGAAGAAGTTGCAGGCGCCGGCGCTGCATTTGTAGAACTGCCTGCCTTGGTTGGGCCCTTCTTTGCGCACGGTTAGCAGCAGGGCGTCGCTCCCGCAGTTGCACACCACCGCGTCGTTCCCGTCATCGGGAGCAGCTGAAGGAGCAGGCCTGGGTGTTCTCGTGGAGCTCAAGGAGAGCAGATGTCCTGGTGCCAGGTTTGTGGTCCCTCTCGCGTGCCTGCTTTCACCATGAGCTCTGTTAGAGGAGTTGTTGACCTGCAAGTGACTGGCTTGCTGGCTGGCTGACGATGCGGGCTGGGATGACCTGTGCAAATACTTCAGGTCCAAGAGTTCTTTTAGCATCTCATCACAGCCTCCGATGCAACCAACAAACTCCAGGGGCATCATGGGTGGAACACTGCCTCTCTTGAACTTAAACTTCAGTCTAAATGGAAAGGAATGGAAAGAATTTTCTAAATGGAAAGAATACAAGTCTTCCAGTTCATCTAAATTCTCATCAACAGACCTCAATTTGGAGTTGATTATTTTTTATTTTTTTTTTCAAATTCTGATATACTTTCAGCACTTTCCCCAACCCCTCTTCTTTCTATCCCAAGCCATGAGAGTGTTGCTCCAGCTTTCCAAGGCTGGAACAGAAAATGGTTGCCCAGCCTAGCCTGTGGAAGTCTCTGGCCCTGATGGCTAACATGTTATGTCTGAAGGGCTGCATTTCCCCAAGGGATAACTGGTATGACCCACCTGTGAACTGGATGTGGTTTACACACAGCACAGACACTCTCGTCCCTGGCCACGTCCAGCACAAAATCAGGAAACCAGACTGCAGCTTTGCAAGCTGGGTAGCCCATGCAGCTGAGATAGAACCTGCCGTGGGACAAAGGCACCGGATGAAGAAGAGGCCAAGTCAAGACAGTCAGTGATCTGTTCTCCCGTCCTCTCAGCCATCAGAAATTGTCAAAACAACAATTTTTAAGGGCAAATATGTACTCAAGAGAGAGGTTCAGCTGAGCCCACACAGCTTATGTGGCTGGTGGAGTTAGCTAGCTGCAGTCTAAGTTTTTATGCTTGCTGCAGAGGGGAGGTAAATGAACAATGCCCAGAAAAACACAAAACCAACACTGAAGGCTACTTTCTACAAGAGGGAATACCACCGACCCGCCATTCTTCCTGGTCTTCAGGACCATGTCATTGTTGCACTGTGGACACTTCCGAACGGAAACGGGCATTGCTGGGTAGACCTCCTCTTGCTCTGCAATTTCTGTGGCTTCTCCAAAATACTGAGCCAGGGCCTGGTCCAGCCTGGAAAGAAACAAGCAAAGCATCCCGTGTGCCTCCTCTGCAAAGAGCCATCGGGCACTGCAGTGAATCAGCACCTGCTGCCCTCCACACAGCCCCTCTGAGCTTCTCCAAGAGTATGTTTGTTCAGCACCACGCCTCTGGAATGGGCTAGATGTGGATACAACAAGAAAGAGGTCAGTATGTGTTGCCATCTCCTTCAGCCACCTCTGAATTTAATCTTAAGGGTTTAAACCAAGATGAGCAGTTAGTTGGCACTAACTCATGACAGCGTGCCAGGCTGCGAGTCATCCCTTCCCATGCAAATGTCTACGCACACTGGGCGGACCTCCAGGAAAAGAGTGTGATGGGATCCCACTCCGGGTTGAGCCCCAGATGAGAAGTCAGCACCTCCCAGAACAGCAAAGCAAACAGAAGAGGGCAAAGACAGGACTCACTTGTTGGCTCTGGCTACAGCTTCGATGAAGACTTCCTTGTACTTTTGGACCTGCTGCTGCAACACTACAGATTTGTCTTTCTTCCCCTCACAGATCAGTTTCAGATCGGCCTCCAGCTCAGCTCGAAGGTCAGGCTTGGACATCTCATAGCCCATGGAATCATAGCCTGAGGAACATCCCGCATGGTAAGTGAAAGGAAGGAGCGAGTAAGGAACTTGCCATCTTCCCAGCAGGCACTGCCCTTACCTTCAACCAGCCCCATGCCCAGGTGGCCTGGCAGGAACCGCTGATCTGCTGTAAGGCCCACGTACATCCGCGTCTTAATGGTCTCGATGTGCTCGGCATGAGTGGCGTCCGTCCCTGAAAGCAGACAGGTCGTTAGTCGAATTTGGTGCCAAGAAGTGATTTCCCCTCTGCCTAGTGTGGAGTGCAAGGTGCTAAAGGGATGAGGAGACAGCTTATGGCCAGAAGCAGCACTGCCCTCATGTCCCAGTGGTACTGAAGCCAACAATGTGCTGGCAGGCACACCCTGGACTCTAAATAGCACATCTCCCTACGAACTGGAGGCACTCTGCAGGCCCCTTAGGATCTTTGGACTTTGCCTGCAGGTCTCTAGTATCCCTTTGTTCTGTACATTTAAGTGATTTCTTATTTGAAGTGACACTTAGAGAATTCCCTACTCTGAGGGTGGGACAGAACTGGTGTTAAGACAAGTTGAGAAGAACCTTATGAGCAAAGCTCTCCCAAGAGCGAAAGGCCATGCTGCCAATACTGACCAATGCCATGTTTCTCCATGAGAGCAATCAGATCCGCTTCTGTGAGGAGCAATGGAGGGCTGGTTTCCCCATCCACCATCTCCACTGTAGTGGGCTGAAAGCGAGACCCTTTCTGATACACTGGGATAACCTGAAGGGAAGGAGAATCTCTTTGAAACTGCCTTCTGGTCCATTCACTGACGACAAAACGCCACACTAACAGCAGGCCAGTGCAGTAATAGTGCAGCACCCTGTTCTGGAGGAGATCCAGTCTCAGGGTCCTCAGGATTAGCTGGTAATGAGCTGCCAGAGAGACCACGGAACATCAACTGCAGCTTCTCTTAGTGAGTAAAGTCAACCCCACCACCCTGTATGGTCTCTGCTGTGGTGTCAGAATGGGAAGACTCTACCCAAAGCTGGCACAATAAAGCTGCGCAGGTTTTCAGCAGAGATGGCTCCAAGGGAAACAGCCAACGGGCCAGGAATTGTCAAAGGACGTTCTGTAGGGGGGTGTGAAGTTGGCAGAGAAGCCAACTTTAGCCTCTCCCGTCTACGTTATTCAAGGGCATTACCTTATCGCTCCACTTCTCATAAGGATAGACTTCCAGATAATTTCGGGCCAGGATCATTAGTCCTTGAGCAATGAATCGCTCGTTAGCAATGTCGATCTCCACAGTAGTTTCCTGTCCCTTGGCATCTTGAGAGCAGCAAGCCAAAAAGTGCCGCACGATGAATTCATACAGTCTCTGCTCGCTGCCCTGATATCAAACAGAAAACCAGGGTCAGTGTCCTCCCGTGCGAATGAGATGTCAAGAAATATCAGTGAGGTCTCAGGTGACAAGAGTGTGCTAATGGCTGTACGATTGAGAATTCCATCTTTATTTATCAAGCAACACAAACCAGGTACCTGCCTTTGTTTAGCTCACCTGCAGGTTAGCGGCGTATTTTGTGGGGTGAATGGGAGGGTGAGCCTGATCTGTTTTGGTTCCACTCCGAGGGGTTGGCCCACCCTCGTCCAAAATCCTCTGTGCAAATGCTCCCCAGTTGGGGTCCTGTGTTTGTTGTTGTACTAAGGAAGAAAGGTTCAGCTCCTTGGGGAAAATGTTGGTTTCAGTTCGGGGGTAGCTAATGAACCTTCAGAAGAAAGACAGAAGAGCACTTTAAGAGGTGCTCCAAGAGGCTTCTCGTTTTGGACTAAAGACCATTTATTTTTGAAAGAATTAAATTTACCAAGCCAAGTCTTGCTTTCTTACCCTTGAGTATAGAGTTTTTCTGCTATTCTCATGGTTTCCTTTGCGTTTATTTTCAGCTTGCGGGAAGCCAGCTTCTCCAGTTCCTGCGTTGGGAGGAGCCAGAAGAAAGAAAGTATTTGTGCATAATTCAGAGTGGTGAGTAAAACATCTCTTCAAAGCTGCTTTCACGTTAAATCTTTTCGCCACAGTTCAAACGTACCACAGTGTCCAGGGGCAGGGGCCTCCATTTGCTCTTTGGCTTGCTCACGACCTCAACAACAGTTGCTACTGGATCCTAAACACAGAGTAAGCAAAGCACAACATCTCCTTGAAGAGTTTACACAAACGGTTCTTTAAACATCTTGAGCGAGACAGATGCAGGAAACGTTTGGCTGATACTGGATTATACAACCATTTACAAGCTTTCCTACCTCCATGCACATCTGGTAAAGGACCAGGCACGCTGTGTGATTGAAGAGCCGGTTCCTCTTCCAGTTGAAGACCACATTGCCATCTTCATGATCATGTGTCACTGTGTTGGACAACAGATCTGAGTGACACAGCAGTAACACAACCGAAAGACAGCGGAGGCAGTGGGGCCACTTTCATCCTGCTCAGGGGTCGCGGCAAACAAAGAGGAAACCACCTCTGCAGCACTGTTTGCTTGTTGCCCTGATGTTTTTCCTTTCTAAACATGTCAAGCCCTTTAAGATGGAGCCCAGGACTTGTTTTCCCCAAGCGTACCTTTTATTTTATAGAAGGCTTCAGGAACAAAGGCCTGGATGGCTTTAAAGCGTTCAACTACAAAGCCCAGTGTTGGGAACTGGCAGCTACCATAGCTGATGAGCTGATCTGCTAAAATATCAGGGAAGATCTTCCGGAGCCTCAGTGTCTGGAATCTGGTGAAGGCAGCACCTGGGAAAACAAAACAGACAGTGGAACTGAGCAATACAACATTGGAGGATAACCACAACACTTCAGATGGTTCTTTTTAATACTCTGAGTATTAATTTTACTCTGATTTTAAGACTAAAAGTCGCAGAAGCCTGTCACTGTTGCATGAGCTATAAACCTAATGTTTGCTCCTAAGAGCACGTTTCCAGTAAAACACGAGGTGTGATTTAGTTGTATCTGATCTAAAAATCTGATTTACGACACTACAGAGGGCATTTCTGCCTTGTGTTGAGGATACAGTGACAGATGATTTCCAAACACCCCTCGCTGGGCTTAACAATGTGCATTCAACGTGGTCAGACGAGAAGCGAGGAAGAGCCCGATGGCTGGCTAGCCTGTTTGTACAGCAGTCTAAGGGAGTTCAAGTATTTACAGACAACAAGCTAGACACTGAAAACAAAGCTGTCCCCTGCCTACCTACCAAGCTCTGGCTCTTCAGTAGAGGTGTGTGCAGCAGCTCAGGCTGGCAGCCTGCTCTCATGTCCAGCGCGTGTTTACGTACCTATCCTGAGGTCCAGCTCCTGCCTGACATCAACGGCATCACTGGTTTTTTGATCTGGCTGGGTGAGGTTCTCGCAGGCTGTTCTGACAGCATGAAGTGTAATCTCCGAAAAACGGGCTCGGAAAACCCGGAGGTTTGGCTTTACTGTCAGACATTAAAAAAAAAACCACCAAAAGATATCAGAGAGACTCAAACATTAAAGGAAAGGAGCAGCTAATAAACAGCTTGCTTCGCAAGAGCGTGCTGTCAAGCTATTCTATAGCTTTCCAAGAGCTGAATGTATTCATGATCTATCAGAGTCATGTATTTATCAGAGGTACAGATTTAACCTGGATGCAGTACGACTGAGAATATGCCTCTGTCACGAGATGTCCGAGCAGCAATACCTGTTAAATCAGCACTCTAACGGAACTCAGATGGATGAAGAAGATGCTCTACGCACCAGCCTTGCAAACGTGAATTATTTCAAAGCCGATGTTCTCTCCTTCTCGATCGCAGTCAGTCCAGATCACCAGAGCTTGGCACTGCTGGACTTCTCGTTCGAGGGTCCTCTGAGATGAGAAAACACAGAATGAGACACACCAGGCCACTTGCTTTGTCATTTTTGGAACGACTCACTAACTGAACATAAAATGCAACGTGTATCCATAGAGATAGATTGTTGCAACAGCATTTTGTCATTGTGGCCCTCGTGAGATGAGGCAGCTTTCAAAAGAATTGAGTCATTTGTTTACATTTAACTCTGTTAAAAAGCAGGGCTTGGATCAGATTGCGCCACGGTCTGTTTTCTGAAAACATCACTTTTTGTGTAATTGAAATGCAATTACCTACTCCACCTTGCTGGAAAAAACATTTCTACTTTTAGCACAGTAGTTGTTCCTTTACAACGTGTGCAAGTGTACACGAGCAGGAGACTTTCAGTGTCACAAATGAACAGCATATATTAGGAAATGCAGGAGGAATTTACTAAATTCTAGAACTTAGACATTAAGGATAAAGCTACAATCCTCCTCCTGTCCGAGACAGTATTTGTAGAACTAATCTCTGAACTCAGAGCTCCAGGGAAACTCTTAAAAACAACTTACCTTGATATCCATGTAATTTTCAGGGCAATACTTCTCGATTTCAGCATCAAAAAGAGCTAGAGGGTTGCAGCTATGCCTGGTAAACAGAGGATAAACGTTTTGTGCATAACAAAAACTCAAATGTATGCTGTGAGACAGTAACTACTGCTGTCTCGTGAGGAAGTGGTGCTCAAGTACTGGAATTAATAATATATTTTACTACAGGCCTCGTCTTAGACAACTTGAGAACTTAGAGAACTTGACAACTTGAGAACTTCAAGACAACTTGAACTTAGAGTTCACGTGAAATGTGGAGTTGCACTTAAAAACCAACAGAACCAAAAAGCAACCAGACGAAAGAGCAAATCTGGAAGGCAGCCCTAACCAAGCAGCTTCTCTTATGTGAAGCACAGAGAACAAAGAGGATGGAAGCCAGAGAAAGCACCTCACTTCCAGGGCAGCTCCTCCCTGAACAAAGAACATAAAAACATCAACCAAGTTTTAGAATCAGTTTAATTCCTTAGGTCTGCCTTCATGTATTTTAACCAGTGTTATGACTCGGGGTCTTTTAGCACTCTAAGACAGTAATTTGAAACAATATTTTAGCTATTCTATACAAAATTTGGTGCTCATCACTCTGCTCTGCACGTGGTGCCGGAGTCCCTGCCGACTCCCTGGCCTTTGAACTCGCAGTGCCCTGCTCAGGTCAGGGCTGGAGGCAGAAGATGACAGCCAGCCCCCCTTCCTGCACTGACCATTTGCGGAATGGCAGCTTGAAATCATGAGCCAGCAAGTGTCCCGACACGGATGTCATCACCATGGTAACGTTCTGCAGGGGACAGAGCAAGGTAATTAGTGCCCATCGTTTGCCAAAAACTACCCAGAGCCCCAAGATCCTGATGCAGTTCTCAGTTTACACAATCAGTGACACCTCCCTCCTGCTATTGTATCATAACAAGCTCTTGTCTCTACTGACAGTTAAATTATGGCCTTAGATTGACAGGCTGAGAGAGTTGGGGCTGTTCAGCCTGGAGAAGAGAAGGCTCCAGGGAGACCTTCCAGCACCTTCCAGTGCCTAAAGGGGCTACAGGAAAGCTGGAGAGGGGCTTTGGACAAGGGCGTGTAGTGATAGAACAAGGGGCAATGGATTTAAACTGAAAGAGGGGAGGTTTAGATTGGATATAAGAAAAAAATTTTTTCACTCTGAGGGCGGTGAGGCACTGGCACAGGTTGCCCAGAGAAGCTGTGGCTGCCCCATCCCTGGAAGTGTTCAAGGCCAGGTTGGATGAGGCTTTGGGCAACCTGGTGTAGTGGAGAGTGTCCCTGCCCATGGCAGGGGGGTTGGAACTAGATGATCTTTGAGGTCCCTTCCAACCCAAACCATTCTGTGATTCTATGATTATCCTCAATTTTTGTAGGAAGCTCCCAATTCTAAATAGCAACGTATTTTTGACTGTCATAAAACCAGAGAGTTGAAAGACTCAAAGCAACAAAACAAGTCAGTGGTTGAGCCAAGAAAAGAACATCTGACTCTTCCTCATCTCTGGATAAAACATCCCTGTCACTGGATACGTTTCGTAACTTCTGATAAACAGCTTTTAGTAATTACTATTTTGCACTTCTCTAAACCAGCAGTAGAAGGAAAGAAAACTCTACCTGGCCAAACATCTGGTAGTCGTATTCATAGATCTTGTTGAACTTGGAAAACCCTTCTCGCTGGAAGTAAAAGGAAAGCTGCTGAGTTTCTGGCTCCTAACAGAAACCAAACACGTTCCACCTCGTTTTGTACATGCTGTTATGACAGAGCACAGGGAAGCATGAGGCAAGCGAAAACCAAGTGCTGTAGCCAACACAAAAGCAAGGTGGGGTGAATGGAAACCGCCTGTATCATTTATGGAGAAGTTGAGATGGTGCTTTCCAATGTAAGAGTATTTTAAACCATGCCTGAAGGGGATGCCAGGGTGATCTCCCCAGGGATAGTGACAACAAACAATGAAGAACACATTTGTTGAATGGGGCTGGCCAGTTACGATCCTGACAAACAACTGGCCTGCTTCAAATGACAATTAATGCACCAGGTCTGGGTCCCCAAGACCACCTTCCACCTCACTGAGACTCATGGAAGTTTCTAGACTGGGAATTTGCTGCTTTTTCCCCAGAAGCAGGACGATGTCTTTCCTGATTAGAAGGGTCAGCGCTCAGGTTCCCAGTAACACCTTTCATTCAAACAGAATTCTGGTCTAGAAGCACCTTCTAGTTCCTTAGCTTGGGAACACCAAGCAATTATGCAAACCTTTAAAAGTCACACAGCAAATCAGCAGAGAGATCTTTGAACTCCTTTTCTCCAAACCACAGACCATCCTTGCCTTACCATGTGAACTTCAGCAACCCCCTGACACTTGCTGACGCTGCAGAAGCAGCGCTTTTTGATTGGGAAACACCTGCCAACGGATGGCTTCCGTTCCTGAAGCCTTTTGCACACACTGCAAAGCCAGGAATGGCACAGGGAGCCCAGCTCGGTGCCTAGAACGGGCAGTCTGGGCAGAGTGAGTGCAGCTGGGGAGCCGAATTCCAACAGGACTTAAGTAACATGGAAAAGGGGGTCCGGGACTCCTAAATACATTTGGGCGAGGTGTGTTCGTCCACAAAAGAGAGCAGCCAGAAACAGCCCGAGGCAAAAGCAGTGCAAGGTGTTGCAGGTGCCGGTGTGAACTGCCTGTGCCACGCTCTGCAGACCGGGCTGGGGCTACCACACAAGACATGGGTGGCACCCCAGACCAGGACTGCGCTGCGCAGTGGCCCTGGTGAGCTGCCTTGCTCCAGCCGGACCTGTCCACGCGTCAGGAAGCAGCG